AAAAAAAAAAAAAAGGGCGCCTCTCCCCGAGCGCTGGTGCAATCTGAAATCGCGCTACTACTACTGCTGCTGCACGCCCGCATGGGCAGGGAATGCGGATGCCAAGTGAGCCTACACTCGGCTCAGGAACGGTCCGTGCATTTCTTTCTTGTTGATTCTCTGCCCCAACCAAATTTTTGCAGTCCGATGCGCCGGGAACGTAAGAGCACACGCTGGACCATCTGATCAACCGCAACGCCGACTGGAACCAATCAGGGGGATGAGGTGAGCTTGGTCATTGGCAAAGCCCTCTAGACCTACCTCTGCTCAAGCAAGCAAGGGAGACAGCGACCGGAAGAAGGCGCGGAGCGGTTGCTTTCACTTGGGGAGGAGGCCGCGTCCCGCCGATCGGACGCATCGCGTTTTCCCAGCCGAGTGCCCGTCGCTTTGGATTGTTGTTCTCTGGAAGCGCCCCTTTTTCCAAGATCCGTCAGGCGCGCCTCTCCCGTCAAATTGGTCTCGGTTGTGACCCGAAATCGGTGGCCAAACCTTGTTGTTTGCATGGATGGAGCTTCTGGCAAACCTTGCGTGAGGACGGGAAGGCCGCTTTGGCGAGGCGTTCTCTCGCCCTTTCACCTTCCACCTGGCCTGTCGCGTCCAGACTCTTGTGGGTCCAATGGCGGACGATCATGTGCCCGACGAATGCAAGCGATCCAAGAAGCTTCGGCTGCTGAAAGGTGGCGACGCCTTTGTGCGCAGCCGCGTTTGGTCGGGCGAGAGACGCGCGCTCGCGGGCCGTCGCCGTCCTCGGTCCAACAAGTTTCAACTTCCGCCGCGGCTGCGCTGACCCGCTGAGCTCGAGTGCCGAGTGCCGAGTGCGTGCGTTCTGAAGCCCAGACTCGCGCATCGGCCCGCAAGCATCGCGTGCATGCAATCGCATGTGTGGGTGGCCATCGTTTGGATCCATCTTGCGCTCCTCGCCCCCTTGCCAACCCTCGCGAACGGCATGCGGCCGCTGCGCTCCATGTTGCGAAAGCAAGCAGCTCCGACTCTGGGGGAAAGGGGGGAGTCTGGTCTTTCGTGCTACGGGCGCTAGGCTCGCTCGACCGTACAACAACGGGCGACTGCGATTCTGACTTTGTCAGGCAGTCTGGACCCCGACCGCGAGCCAGGTCTTCGGACGCCGACGTTCCAATCAATTGGTTCAGCGTCGGGCTTCAAGCCGGCTGCAGCTCCGTTGGTTCTTCCTGCCCCCCTCCTCTCTCTCTTTGCCTGTCCTCTGCGAACAGACTGTGCTTGGTTGCCAACGCCGCCCTCGCTCCTTGGGCTCGAGCTTATATGCGCAGAATCCATGCACGGACAAAGCAGATCTTTCGACCGGAAACTTCGTCCCATCACGCCTGCATCATCCTGGCGCTCTGCTGCGTTGCTCCCCCACTCCGCTGTCGCCAATCTCGGCTTGCAGCGTGGTTTCGCCCTCGGCTGCACGACACCGACGAGGATCCATGATCCGCTGCATTGGTTCCACCCAAGCACGTCTATAGGCTCAGCAAACACCAGCGCCAGAACAGAGTCTGCAGCCTGTGCAGCTCTGCCGTCTCCAGCCCTGGACGGCAGGCTCTCACTTCGCCTGCTGTAGATCGGTACGCAGACGCAATCGACTCCACGAGCATACGCACAGGCGCAAAACCTCGCTGTTCCTGCGCCTGCGCCGCTTCCCGCTTCACTGCCATCCAGATCGAGGTCCTCGCCAGAAGAATGCCAGCCGACCGGACCGGTAACTCATCCGCGCCGCTTTGATTTCGCCCGAGCTCATCCTCGCCTCGTCACAGTCGGTCCCGTCTGAACTCAAACTCTGTTCTTTTGCGCATCCATTCTATCTCACCCATCGGCGCTGCCGGTGCTATTCGACTGGCGAAGGAGGACGCCAAAGCTTTGACGCAGTCACGCTCCCGTCCGCACTCGAAAAGTCGGGTTGGACCCGCACCGCTCCAGCTAGCCTCAAGGCATTGTCCACTCTTGCGCTTCGAGCAAACTTTCAACCCTCGCGCATACAGTTCATGCCTATTGGGCCGGCCGGCTGAGCCTGCGCTTCACACCGACCGAAATCTGTCCGAATCGCCCGTACCAAGCTCAACCTGTGAGCACACGGCGCTCAGCCTTTCACGCAACAGCATTCGAGCTCGAACACCTGATCATGGGCAGCAGCGAGTGCCTCGGTAGCATCACTACGACTTCCACGCTCAGTACCGACACCGTCCGTCTTTCCACGACGTTCAGCGACTGCTGGCGTACCGCAAAAACGCCTGCCCTTTCCCGCCATCCCAAAGGCGGGCCCTTTCCCGCTCGACAGCGACTACGCTCTCTTCATTGATGACGGCCGCTCTGCCGCTCGAGATCGTGGATCTCATCCTCCTTCTCTCGCTTGAGCAGGGTGGCGGCTCGATCCGACGAGGACGTGAGGCTCTGCTTCCGCAAGGAGCCTCGACATCCTCCTCGACTACGTCGCCAGCGTCAAGCTTGTCGCCGGCAGCCTTGAGAAGGCCCGAGCAGGTGCTTGACCCTTGGCAGGCTGCAGCCATCAGCTGCCTTTCACGACATCATCGCCAGCGATTTGAACAGCAGCTCTACCGACACGTATATCTACATGACGTGCGTACGATCGCGCTCTTGTGCCGCACGCTTTCCGCACGCCCGGATCTATGCCATCATGTTCGCTCGCTCGCCCTTTTCTGCGACCCGTCGGATGGGAGTCATCGACTCCCATCGGGTGTGCCGACTGCGGACTTTGTCGATGGTGTTCCCGAACCATCAGCTGATATCACGTCGGCAGCTGACGTGATCCTGTCGGCATGTCCGAACATCACCCACCTGCTCCTCTCCTGCGATCATTTCAGCAGCTTGTCCGCCGGCATCTACCGCCTGCTACAGCCCAAGGAGATCACCCTGGTATCCGTTGCCAGCGTCGCGGTCCTCGACGGGATCGTCAAGCGCCATCGCGACCTCACCGCCGCCGCTCTCCAGGACGATCCAAGGATGCGTGCTATCTTGGGCACCGCCTTGTCCGCCGCGCCCGACGAGCCGTCGCCAATTGGTGTAACGTTGTCGGCGCACGAGTCATCTCCGGTCCCCTCGACCGCGCCGCCCTCACCGCACGCAGAGCGTTCACTCTCACATCTTCACCTCGTCAACTTCGATGGCCGGCTTCTGCATCACCTGGCTACGCTCTCGTCGCTGACGCATCTCGTCCTCACCCATCCAATTCTCCCAGAGACACGACCGGGCATGCCGGGCTTGTCAATCATCCCGCGCTCCCACCTCATGCTCCTTCTCGGCTCGGGCAACGTCCAGCGCATTGTCATTCGCGCCGACCTGGCTACTTGCATCCGTCTCGTCGAGGAGCTCGCTCCAATAGAAGATCAAAAGCTCGTCTTTCGTCCTCTCGCAAAGTCTGGCGACCTTCTCTTTCCCGAGCCAGAGCGGCGTCCGCGCTTCTCCGCCGCCCTTATCGCACAAGCCTCCAGCCTTTACGATGCGGTGGCGGCAAGCAAGCTGGACCTGCTGTCCGAGTTCTTCGGCAGAGTCCGTGTCCATGCGCATCGATTCGAGTCGTCGCTGTCTTCGGACGATCCCGACACCAGCCGTGGCTCCTCGACTGGGTTCCGGCACCCGCGCTCATCCGATAGCTCTGGCGGTGCTACTAGCCAGAGCGCTTCCACTGGGTGGGATGACGATGGCTCAGACGACGTCGATGACGAAGCCTTGCAAGACTTCGGCCCCGAGGATAGTCCCGAGCCTCCTGCGTCCGAGGATCCCGGTCGTTCGGTCGCAGCAACGGCGCACGCCAGCACCAGCATCAACGCGCCCCCGCTCAACATCCCTATCGAAGAGCTTTTGCGTGCCGAGCGCTTCACACCTGCTGGGCTCGCGCGTACTGCCGCCCCCGCCTCCCAAGCGAGCAGCGGCTCTCACGACCTCTCCTCGTCCGCCTCCTCGAGTCCACATGGCCAACGTCGCCGGCTCCATCGCTCGCCCTTTGCCCTCCGCAAGACCGACCTTCGCGGCGCGACCAACTCGAACCTCGACATCCTTGCCAATCTGTACGAAGCGCTCGCGTCGCACGCTGGTTTGGAACAGGAGATGAACTTCTGGTGATCCGGCTGGTGGCACTTGGTTCTCAGCCTTCCACACAATTCTTCCGCAACCCTCCGCCTTTTATCTAAGTTAGTCATCCGTACGATCCTCGCTAATCCAATATTGCCTTGCTGTCGAAAAGCAGCGTCTCTTTGTCATTTTTTTCTCACGCAACTCCCCGCGTGATCGTGAACAGCACCGGAAGCGGGATCACAGACGTGGATGCAGCAGGCAGGATTGTGGGGAGCAAGGTTGAATTTGATGTGACGGCGAAGTGTACTGCGCGCTTTTAGGTGAGGTAGGACCCGAGACTTTCGCCGAGCGCGGCTTCGATGTGGACGCGGAACTGGTTGGCGTGACCGACAATGTCGTCGTTGTCGTCCTCGAGGAGCTCGGAGAGCTGGGCGATTGTCTCGGGCACGAGGGGGAGGAGGTGGTCCTTCTGTGCCGCCCACATGTGCGCGAGAAGTTGGGTGGCAGTGGAACGAACGCGCGTGCTGTTGGTTGCGCGCGTACCCGAGGCTCGCTGAAGCAGCTTGGCGTTGAACAGCTTGAGCGTGGGTTCGTCATTGACGTTGGTCAGCAGAGCGGTGATGACACCGCCGAGCGTGGTGACAAAGTCGGCCTCGTCGATGAACGCGCCCGCGCCAGCAAGCAAATTCATCTGGTCCAGCAGCGGCGTAGCGATGCGCGCCACACGCGTGGGGTTCCAGAAGACTCCCTCGTCGTGCGTGGCCGAGAGCTGGATCGAACGCACGACGTGCACCCACAGCTCGGCCTGCACGCTTCCGGCTGCGGGCGAGCGCGAGAGCTTGCTCCATCCAGACAGGAGCTCCACCACTTGATCCAGGAGCGTCGAGTAGTACGACGACACCAGGCTGCGCAGAGTCTCGCTGAGAGCGTTGAACGTCTTGAACAGCACGACCTGTCGAGCCACCACGCCGTCGGCTGCAGCAGCGTCTTCGTCAGCATCGTCGACAAGATCCAGCACAGCCCAGTCGAACATGCGCATGAAGAGCGGTCGGAAGGCAGCCTCGTTGAGCTTGAGCACCATGCGCATGAACGCCGAACGCACCAGGCTCGACTCGACCTTGCCGATGGCCGCAGGCGACAGTTGGCCCTCGCCGCCCAGACTCGTGCGGCGCAGATCCAGCGCCCGCAGCAGGAAGCGGTAGACGAGCTTGTACGTCGCGCTGATTGCCTCGCGGTCGCTCTGGCGCAGTGCACGTCCGAGGAACTCGGCCACGCCCACCAGACGCTCCGCCTTGGCATCGGCAGGCACCTCGGCGCCCATCTCGTCGTCCCACACGCGGAACGTAGCCTCGAACACCTCCTTGGCGGGCGTCTTGCGCACGAGCGTCGAGACGAGCTGCGTGAGCGAACGCTCGCTGGCGGTCGACGAGCCACTGGCGCTCGCAATCGCCGCCTTGAGCTCCGGAGACACGGCCAGTCGGATCACAGCGCCAACGTACGACGTCATGAACGTAGGCACCGAGCCAAACAGGCCCGTCAACGTGTCGAGCGCGCCCGTGCGCAGCGACGACACGTTCGACTTGGCAGCACCTGGAGCTGTGTCCTGGGCATCCTCCGAATCCGAGTCCGAGTCGGCCGCGCCAGCGACCGTCGCGGAGGGTCGCGACACGACTCCGAGACAGAACGGCACCAGCGCGGCGATGTGCGGGATAAGGCGTGGTCCGAGCTTGGTGGTGAGCCTGCGAGTGATTGAGAACACGCTGATGCGCGCCGCTGCAGGCACAGCGCTGCGAGCGTCCTGCGCCTTGGCTGCCGCCTGGCCGAGCTTGACGAGCGCGGGCAGCGAAGATGCGAGCGAGCCATGCTCGGATGGCTGTGCGGACGACGCAATCGTCTTGAGCGCGTCAAGCGCCGCCTGGCGTAGCGCCTCGGCATCGCTTCCGCGCTGCGACGTGGATAGGGAAGCCTCGACCACCTCGACTGCCGCCTTGACGATGACGGGAGTGAAGGTTGCCACCGTCGTGCGGTCTTGCGAGTTGGCCGGCATTGCCGCCACGCGGCTGGCAAAGAGCGAGAATCCGCTCGTCTGGCGCGGCACGTCGTCGCTCTCGACGAGCTTGGAGACAACCGCGAGCACGTTGGTGACGGGCGAGAAGGGCATGGCCTTGTCCAACAACTCGAGCGCGAGCGCTGCAATAACGGGCTGGGTAGTGCGCAGCCTCGCAACCGTCTCGAGCGCGAGCTGGATGAACGTCTCGAGTTCGGGACCGATCTCGTCCTCCGGAACGGCACCCACCTCCTCGGCAAACGCCTTGGAGGTGAGCACCTGGCGGATGAACATGACGAGTGCCTGGATCTGGCGCAGAGGCTCGGCTTCGTGGTCGACGTGCTCCTTGTCGAGTCGACCGGCGCGATCGAGGAAGACATGCTCGCTGAGCGCATCGGTCTCGGCACGGTGCGCCCAGATACGCAGCACCTCCTCCCATACCTGGTGCAGCACTTGTACCTGCACCATGGCGCTGTGCGGCGACACGACAGACAGAGGCAGCTGCAGCGTCTGTTCCGCGTCGGCACGCGGCTGCTTGACAATCTTGTGCGCCGAGCGGTCGACGAGCAGCATCGCCACCGCAGCGGCAAAGTCGTCGGCACCGAGAACGTCGACGAGGATGCGGAAGAACGTCTGTCGTCGGTGGCGTGGCACGTGAGCCGCCGCATCGGTGAAGATGCGTACGAACATCCTCGCCTCGCAAAGCAGCGCGAACTTGCGCTGCTTGGCGGCGTCGGAAGCCTTGAGCGAGCCGACGAGCGCCGGGACAATGCTCTGCAGCACCCGCTCCACCACCGAGAAGCTGAACGCATCGTCGCGCTGCAGCACCGTGGCGCCAACAAATGTGAAGATCGGCATGACATTGTGCAGCACCGCTTCGGGCGCCACATTGGCGATCCTGGCGAGCAGGAGCAGCGCGTGCTGGAACGTTTGCGGGTTGTTGGAGCATTTGATCACGCTGACGATCACATCGGCACGAAGTGCCTGTGCCACATCGGCCGGAACCGCCGCGCCGGCCTTGATCGAGCCGTCGATGAGCTTCTCGATGCACGCCATGGCGAGCTGAAGCATCTGTTCAGCATTGGCAGCGAGCATGGCCGAATGCAAGTCGACGGCGACACGGAGCACCTCAAAGAGCTCGTACAGCAGCATGCCCGAGCACACGAGCTTGCTGCCAACGGCCGATTCGAGCACGGCGACGAGCACGGCGCACGTGCGCGTCATCGTCTCGTCCGGTGTCAGCAAGGTGCGCGCGCGCTTGGCCTCGGGCCCGCTGAGCGCCTTGGTGGTGATCGCATCGCGCAGCTCCGAGAAGACGGCGATCAGGATCGCAGAGTCCAGCTGCAGCTCGCGCAGCGCCGAGCCCACCTCGGGCGCGGCGGGCAGCGCCGGGTCTGCGACGATGTCGGCGAGATGCAGGTAGATCTCCTTGCGCATGGCGGGGGACAGAGTGGTGAAGAAGCCGGCTTTGTCGAGTGCGCGGACAGCGGCCTTTTGGACGAGCGCTTTTCCGTCCTTGCCAGACACGGCCTCCAAGAAGAGCGCCCACGCACCTGTGGTCGCGGTCTCGACGACCGTACGGCTGCTTCGGTCGTAGGCCCCGAAAAGCAGCTCGAGGTAGAGCTCACGCTCATCGATCGAGCGCAACCCCTCCGTGGCTGCTGCCACGCTTCCCTGAACGACATTGCGAATGAGCGGAAGCAACATGTCGAGCTTAGCAGCATCGCTGACGCCGGCAAGCGACTGCACGAGCACAAGACGGTTGGCAGCCGTGTCGAGGCAGAGGATGTGCGAGAGGATGAAGCAGACCATTGCGTGCTTCTCACCAACCTCCTTGCGACCGTCGTGGCGGCTGATCTGCAGCAGCTCCGCCTGCATCTTGGGCAGCAACGTGGCATCATTTCGGAAGCCCGACTTGCGCTCGAGAAGCTTTTCCAGGTAGTGCACCAGAGCGGGCAGATCGATGTACTGCATGGGGTCCGATCCAGCAGCGCCGTAGAACGATTCGTAACCGTAGATCTCGGCCTCCTCGCCCTTCTTCTTCAACGCTTTCGCGTTCTCAGCGATGCGCTCAGAGACGCGCAGAATGTGCTCAAGACAAGAGATGGCAGCAAGTCGAATGGCTGCTTCGGAATCGGCAAGAGCCGCGAGCAGAAGAGGCACGACAGCCTGGAAGTCTTTGGCCTTGGCCTGAGCGCTGGCTTGCGCCTGCGCGGACAGGTAGGCATCGGCGTGGCGCAGCGCCGCCAGACGCACGGCAGCACTGTACGACGCCGTGGCGTTGGCCCAGATGGACGCGAGGAAGGGCAAGCTGGCATCGCCGGTCTTGACGAGCAGGATCTGGAGCAGCAGCTTCGGCACCGACGAGGGAAGCGGAGCCGTGTTGACCACCCAGTACAGCGCACCGAGCAGCGACTTGGCGGCTGCGACCTCGGCCGAGACCCGGGAGGTGACAAAGCTGTCAAAGGCGGGAACTTGAACGCATCGAACGATCTGGATGAGCAGGTGGCTGACCAGAAGCATCGCGCTCTGCTCTGTACCAGCCGTCCTGGAGAGCTCCGCGAGCTGCTTAGAATGCGGCGAGGCCTCGAGGGTGTCGCGCAGTCCGGCGGTGGACAGAAGCTTGGCCTGATCGGCAGTGAGAGCGCCGGCGGCCGAGATCGACGGCAAGACGATGGTGTGGAGGCACGTGTCGGCAAGCGTGACGAAGTCGTGGCCCTCGAGCTTGTCGGCGAGATGCAGGAGCGACAAGAGGGCGAGGTCTCGCGACATGGCCGCGCCAGCCAAGCTCGAGTCTTTGGCGATCGGTCGCGCGGTGGACTCGAGGAAGGCAACCCAGTTCGCGCGTTCCGCCTCGGCGAGAGAGAAGATGTAGGCTGCGATCGCCTGCGCCACCGCATCGTTGGCTTCGGCGGCAGCCATCGAGGCGTTGAGCGATGGGGCAATCGAGTTGAGCAGGCCCTTGACCTTGCGGCTGCCAGTGATGGTGGTGGCGGCCGCTTTTGCGAGCGCAGCACGAGCCTTGCTTTGCAGAAGGTAGGGCCAGACAGCTCGCTGTGCAACAGCGTCCTGGGCGTCGGCGTGCCTTTCGAGGTATGCGTTGAGGAGGAATTGGATGTGCTGGCTGAATCTATCGACTGAGATACCATCTTCCGCCAGCGACTCGACGACGGTGGCGAGCAGAGTCTCGTTGTCGAACGCATCGAGCAGAGAGGCAGGTTGCGAGTAGAGCACCTGGAGGACGTCAACGGACGAGTCCTGGATGCGTGCATGCAGCGCCTCGCGGACCATAGTGTCTTCGGCACGTGCACGACCGTCTTGGACCTGCTTGTAGAGCTGCTTGAGAGCGAGCACGCGCTGCGAGGCTTCGGCAGAGTGGATCGAGAGCCAGAGAATGTCAGACTGGCCCTGACCATCGAGGCGACCGCTAGAGGCGTCGTCGAGCGAGGTGCCGGACTCGAGCGCGAGGACGGCCTGCACCGTCTGCCAGATAGCAGCAACGCGAGCCTCGGCTTGGTCCTTGCGGGTGCAGTTGCGGAGGGCAGCATCGAAAACCTGGGGCTTTCGGGTTCGCACGGTCTGCAGCACACGGAGACGGTTCTTGTGGGCGTCCACCAGCATGTCTGCCTTGAAATGCGCTTCGAACGCCACCTCGAGCGCCTGGGACGATCCAACGACGGTGCCAAGACGGAGGTTGAGGAGCAACTCGGAGGTTTGGATGGCAAGCTCGTCGTGCACGACCTGGCCGCGCAACAGCGTGCTGAGAAGATCAGCCGAGGGGGCCTGCGAGAGGCGTGCCGAGAGGGCTGCGAGCAGGTGAGCGAGGAAGGCGCGTCCGTCGTACTGCTTGGCGAGCGCGCTGATCGAGCTGCCGGCCTCTGGAGATGCGACGAGAAGCGCGGCAAGGCTGTCCGGGATCAATCGATCGGCCGACGTTGACTGTGCCGCGAGCGGGGCAGTGGCTACGCTGGAGCTCGCGCAGAGGGCAAAAGCACACGAGATCAGGGCGCGGTTGACGTTGGTGGTGATGCCGGACGAGGACAGCGACTTGGCGAGGCTGGTGAAGATGCCCTGAATGGCCTCCTTGCTGAGCGGGAACGACTGCGCAATGGTGCAGAGGAGCATGAAGCCGCCCATCTGCGCATCCTGACCGAGCGAGGCGGTGGCCGCAACACGTACTGCTGCGGGGAGGAGGATGGTGAGGATGGCCTGCGCATCGGCTGCGCGCGTCTTTGCCGACTTCTTCGAGTTGCTGGTGGACTTGGAGAGGCCCGAGACGTGCTGTGTCTCGTCCATTCGTGCACGAGCCGCACAGACCTGAACGAGCGTCGAAGTCCAGAAGTTGACGAGCGCACGGTGCGGGGCGATGTGCAGAGCAGTGGTGGTGTCGTTGACGATGAGGGACGAGATCCAACGCAGCAGATCGAGGCTGGAAGTGGTGGTGGCAGGAGCGAGGATGGCTGCATGGAGGACGCCGGCTGGAAGTGGACTGGCAGTCTTTTTGATGGAGAGCAAGAATTGAAGGTGAGGCTTGTCGTCGAGCTTGGCAATCGAAAGCATGCGTGCGAACTGCTGCGTGTCGTGGTAAGGCAAGAAAGCGGCAAGCACGTCCTGTACGCTGAACTCGTGGATGTGGAAGCGGCGTACGAGCCATTCGAGACACTTGGATGCACCTTTGGAGAGGAGGAACGGCGAGGCGAGATAGAGGAACTCCCTCACGGCCTTGTCGATTGCGTCGTTGTCTTCCTTGGGCAGCATGAGACGATCCATGCCCCTGCTCTCTTCGCCAAAGAGGAGCGAGGAGCTGGACCACTGCTGCAGCGAGGCGTCCTGGGCGGAGAGCTCGGTCCATCCACTGGCACCGAGCGCGTGAACCGTGAACAGGTCCTGCTGCGCCGCGGTCTTGGGCGGAAAGAGATAGGAAGTGTGCTTGACCAGCGACGCGGACGAGGCGAGCCGCGAGGCGTTGTGCGAGCGCACATTGGCCAGCTGGGCTGCGAGCGACGAAGCCATAGTTGACGACCGCGAGGAACGCCCTAGTGCCTTCGTGTGAGGTGTAGAGCGAGCGTTGTCGACGTCGTCAGACTGCTCCGGACAGGTGTGGTTGTGTGGAGAGGGAGAGAGAGAGAGGGCGAGAGGGTGAGGGTCTCAGCAGATGAACGTTGGTGTTCGGTGCACTTTTCTTCCTGAGGGCGCTGGAAGAGGAATTCAGAGTTTCTTTTCTCTCTCTACGAGCCGCCTCCGCCTTCTGAGCCACAGCCAAAAAATCAAAAACTGGGAAAAAATCGCCTCCATCTCGGAAAACCAGCCAGTTTCTAGCCACCGCTATCCGAGTTCCGAGAAAGCTTGCCCGACTTCTCGCACGATTGAACAGACCCATGACTGCCTCACACTTTCTCCACTCTTTCTACCACCTCTCGGCCACCCCAACCCAGATCGAGAAGACGATCTTCGTCAGCGCCATCCAAGTTGATGTAAGGCAATGTATGACGTGTAAGCTAGAGATACAGCCGTGGGACAATGCTAGTCGTCGGCAGGCTCGGCTTCGCCCTTGAAGTAGTTGCGATAGATAATGATCGACTGCCCCTTGCCCAGCTTGGGCGAGTCACCCGTGGCAATCTTGTTGCCCAAGCGGTCCAGTTCGTAGTGGATAGGCTTGAGCGCGGGCTTGCTCTCGCACTTCTGCGTGCCGTATTGCGCGCCCTTGCCGACGAAGAGCGGTCGGTACCAGCGCACGCACTTGCGCGCCTCCGACGAACCGGAATCCGACTGAGCTGCCCTCTTGGTAGGGGTAGAGTAGGGTGCGGCATCGCCCTTACCCAGTCGATGACTGCTGATGTCGTCGGTGATGATGCAGGCTTCGGGCTCGTGGTCGTGACGGTCGGGGCTCGGCGGTCTTTCGTACGGCCTCTGGATCTTGGTGATCTTGTAGCGCGCCAGTGTCTTTTCGTTGTGCTTCTTGTGCACCGTGTCGGCCAGCCGCAGCTGGTCCGTTAGAGAAAGCGGCACGTCGATCTTGCGCGCGGCAATGATATCGTTGAGGCTCAGAGCGCGCCCTCTGGACGGCGCAACGCGCGTCGCCGAAGGCGTGAGCGAGCGAGAAGCATTTCGCGCAGAACGCAGCGGCCGACCCGTAGTCGTTGTGGGCGGTACTGGCATGGCTGTGCTTGTCGAATCCACAACAGCCGCGGATGGAGCCTGCGAGGTAGCTGCTGGTCCATTCTGCGTTGCAGACGCATCGATCGGGGATGAGGCGCTCCTCTCGTTGGCCAAGGGTCCAGTTGTCGCGGATGGCGGAGCATGCGGGACGATCTTGTCCGCGCCGTCCGAAGACTGGGGACCGTCTGTGACGATCTCTGAAGAGGGCGATTCGTCCGCCTCTGAAGTCGCTGGTGTGGAATTGGCCTTGGGTGCGCGATTTCTCGCTTTCTCTTGCATCGCCAAGCATCGCAATCGCTGCTGTTCGGGATCGAGCATGACCGGAGGAGGCGGACGAGCTGAAGCCGCAGCTTTACTCGGAGCCAACAGAGCGACAGGGCTCGATGGACGCAGCGATCCTTGCTCTGAATTGCGAGCAATCGCTCTGGTGGGACCGGCAAAAACGGATGCTTTCGACGCCACGGTGACGGAGCTTCTGACAGGCAAGGACTGCGCGGCGAGGGCGACGGAGGGAGTTTGGTCCTCCGAACTATTCACCCGAGTGCCAGTCTCGCTTGGCGAATCAGCATCGCTGGTGGCACCCGCCTTCAACGCAGCAGAAGTGCGAGCAACGGGAGCGTCCTCGAAGACCGTCGCGGACTTGGCGATAGGTTTGTCTGCCTCAGCAGCAGCAGCAGCAGTTGTGGGCTTGGCTGTTGGTGCTCCTGAGTTGACGCGGTTGAGCCCGGACTGAGACGGTGCAAGCCTTGCGATCGCCATGGGTACTGGTCGTGACGTCGGACGTCCAGGTCCCGCCGATTGGCTTGAAGAAGCTGGTCGGGGAAGACGCGTGCCAGGGCCTCCGGACGGGAGAGAGCTGATTCCAGCGGTCGCCTGCCTTGGTCGAGGCAATCCACTAGCAGACCGCGAGGGCTTGTCCGGCGACGACAGCTTCTGTCCAAAGACGGCCGACGCTGAGTTTTGTCCTCGGGAAGCTTTGGATGCCACCGACGGCCCTTGCGAGGCCGATGCTCCCCTTGAGGCAGGCTGCGTGGCTGTCGTCGCCGATGCGGGGGCAGAGGCAAGTCGATGCGGGATGAGCTTTGCAGCGCCGGACAAAGCCGAGGGAGGCAGGCTTGTGTTTTGACTACCGAATCTGTTCGATCCCACGCTGACCGATCGCGCTGCTTTGGAAGCGACACTGGGTGCCCTTGACGCCTCCTGCCCCGCCTTTTCGCTTGGCTTGAGGATGTTGGTGCGCGCTGCCGCGGAAGCGTGCACCTGGACTCGTCGCGCTGGGATTCGCTCCGGTTTGGGACCGAAATCGACCGACCTTGCAGAGCTGTTGGTATAAGCCTTTCTGGGAGACCTTTCGGGAGACACTTTTACTCCAAAGTCGGCCTCGTGCTGATGGATGGGAACGCGTCGAGCTGTCTGCCTGAAGACGGGTCCTGGTGACGCATTGTTTGCATCAGATTCCGAGACCGATTCGCGCGCGGGAGTCAAAAGCGACGCATTGGCCGCCTCAGACTCTTGGCGTACTGGCGAAGGGAGCGATTGAGGTGGAGCTCGTGAGGCGTGTGGAGAGCCTGTGCGGTCTGGCGAGGCGTGGGTTGTCTTTGCGGAAGGCGATCTAGCAGCAAGAGTCACGTTATCGTCCTGTCGGCGAGTTGTGGCGCTGGGTGTTGTGCGACTTTCGAGGTCTGCAAATCTGACCGAAGGAGTTGCAGGGGCAGGAGCGGCTTTCGAAGGCGAGGCTGGACCGCGTTGCTCGCTGTGCATTGCCATCTTGGAGGGAGAGGGCAGCGAGAGCGTCGGCTCGGCGCGGCTCGGCGTTCGTGGTGTCTGCATTGGCTTGGCGGGAGATGCTACGAGGGGAGCAAAAGCGCCACTCGAGATGAATGGTGATGGGAGGACAGCATGATGAGCCAGGCGCATGGAGAGGACGCGGTTTGCGGGCGTTTCGGCTGGTTGGCTGATGGACGAGATGTTTTGAAGGCATGCGAATCGCGAAAGACCGGTGCTTGGAGGAACAAGCTGGGCGGACGCCACTTGCTGGAAGGGGGTAGCGTGCATGGGTGGGAGAGCATGCTGGAATGGCGACGGCGAGGCGAATGCGAGCTGTTGGGAGCCGAGCTTAGTGGGCGAGGTGGAGAGCTGCAAGGCACGCAACGAGAGCCTGGGCGATCGACGCGGCGAGCGTTGGGGAGAAAGAGCCTCGCGATTCTGGGACACGGTGGCACCGATGAGCGTCTCGACCGAGCGGATCGGACTTTGGTTGCGATCAGGCGACTGGTTGAGCTGCTTAGCAGGGCTGCGGGAGGTCGAGTTCTTTGCAGGACTTGTCTGCGCCTCCATGAATGGATTGACTTGGCGGCCATCCTCGCATGGTGAGTCTGATGGTCGCGGCTTGTGTCCCTCGTCAGCCTTGACATCATTTTTTGGTGCTCGCTGCGGCGATTTTGAAACAGAGGGAGCGTCTTGACGCTCGGCTGGAGTTGTGCGCGCTTGGATCTCTGTAGTCAGGGTGTCCTCGTCTGGTGCGCATGCCGGTTGCTGGGTATCTGGGGTCCGAGAGGGAGAAGCGGAGGGAGACTTGGAAGATAGCGAGCCGATCCGCCTGCTTCGCGTTGGAGAGACAGGGCTAGCAGGCGATTCGGCCAAAGAGTCGAACTTGAGCAAGATTGAGCGGGAAGGGGTTGGTGTTGGGCGGGCAGCGGACCAGCCGTAGTCGAGGTGATCGTCGACGAGCATTGTGTCATCTGGATTGAAGCTGATGGGACGGCGCCGTGTGAGGACGAGACTGTCCTTGTGCTTGAGACGCTTTTCGAGCACGCGCTGCTCGTAGTGGATGCGCTTCTTCTTTTCGGCCGACGAAGGCTTCCCGAAGAAGACGACGGCCGAGTCATCGGATTCGTCCGAGGAGGAGACAAAGTCATCGGATTGGCCGACCAAGTGGCGGCGCAGAGGCGAACGATGCCGAGTTGGTGAGCTTCGTGCGCGGACGGGCGAAGAGTGCTGAGGGAAACTGCTCGCCAGCGGGGAGCCCGACAGGGGACTGCTGCTGTGCTTGGCATCGTCGGCAAGTCCGATGGCAGGTGTCTTTGCAGAGCTGGAGGGTTGAATGGTGGATGCGAAGCCCACGTTCTCCTTGTTGACATCACGCACGGGCGACGACAAAGAGGAGGCGCCCGAAAGTCGCAAACTTCGGCGAAGTCGCTGCGGTGAGGCCATGGCTAACCTCGAAGGGCTGGCCGGAGGCGATGGAGCTGGCGGCAGGACGTCCATCGTAGGATCCGAGGCCAGGATCGATATCACCGCTCGCGCTCACAACAGTGTATTGCGGGTCCGGCTGAAGGGCATCAGCCTAGGTTGCCAAGGACGATCGAAGCGTTGGATCGATCAAGTACGATGGTTGGTGCACGATGCTTTGTTGAGTTGTTGCGGCTATGGATAGTATGCGCGCCCTGAGAACGTAGCGAGTCAGGACCGTGACCGAGACGTGCGCAAGAATAGATTGAATAGCGAAGATGCAGAGGTTGTAGGGACGTGATGGCGAATGGGAGCAGGTGTGCAAACGAAGCTACAAAGTGGGTCGGTCATTCGGCATGTGCCCAATGCCAAAGTGCTGCAAGCCTGGACACCGAGAGCCGAGCTTATGCTGGGCTATCTTCGTTTCGTTTGTGATGATTCGCAAAGCCCGATGAGTCCTGCTGTGCAGATCCGCGTTGTGCTCACTGCAGCCGACAACCAACACTAAACGAAAGCACAGGCACCTTTTTTTCCAGATGCCACCTTCACCTAAAAAAGCAGCACCAGCAGCAGCAACCCCGCGCCTCGGCGCTCACGCGCGCCCTGGGAGGACGGCTCTGGAATGCGCGCGTGGTGGTCACGTGCTGTTCGAATTCCAACCTCCACCTCCGCGCCTCTTTGTCCATTTTTTTGACTCGACCCGAAATGGTTCTCGTAGGCGGGATTTCGTCTGAGGCCGTGCACCCTCACTCAGCAGGGAGCGCTGCAGGAACGCTGCATCCAAGCCACAGGCGGCAGGCCGTGCTCATCTTGTCATCCTTGCACGTCCACCCATCTCGACCATCTCACCCAGCCCCAAGTGGTTTCGCTGCTGCCACAGCTTCTCACCATGCACGTCCTGTGCCAACTGCTCGGCGCGTCATGAAGCTCACAAAGTCTGCCGTGCAACTGGCTGCGGCCCGGCCCCTTCTGCCGTCTTCATCAACGACTGCGAGAGACAAAGGTGCGCGCCTTCGCCACGGACATCGTTTACTCGACCATCCGCGCCTTCACCATGCACGACCTGCTACAATCCTAGCTCCTCGGCAGCGGATCGAGCAGCACAGCCTCACAAGGCCGCAGTTGCTTTCATTGCTCCTTTCGGAATCGCCCAGCGAGCCCTCTGGGTCAGGGCAGCCAGGCCACCGTCCACAAGGTATCTCCGATCACGAGTACAAGACTCGCGTAGGCAAGGCATGTCGTGTGATCGTGGAAAGCCTGCCTGACTTCATGCATAAGGGAGTCGTGGATCTCGACGACCTCGAATGCGACCACCATGGCAGCGCCCAATCAGACTCGGCATCATCCAAGGGACCTCTGGCCGCCGTACGCTCTCGCTGGTCAGCCGCTAAAGGGCTCCTGCCCATGCTTTCTCCGTTCCTGGGTCAGAGCCTCCTGAGGCGAGCAGCGCCAACGCACGCTTCCCCATCGCATGCCTCTCAGCCCGGCGAGGTCTTTGACAGCCTCTACCACCCGTCCATTGCCTTTGAATTTCGACCACCACTTCCGCACATCGGTATCGGCAAAGACGGGCCCTCCGATGTCGAGAGCAGCTCTAGCGTTTCCAACGTCAGACATTCAGGCGATGTTCGCGATTTGGCTTCGCTCGATGCAGACGAGCCGCACTCGCGCGGCGGGCCGACCATATGCTTCAACGGTCGCACCATGTACGTCGCGAGCTCGCACCTACTGCGCCATGCACTCTCGGCGCTCTTTCATCACACGGAGCTGCATCTGGAGTCGGCGCGCTTCGAAGGGCGCTCGCGATCCGGCACCTTGCTCGGCAGCCGATCGTTCATCCACCAAAGGTCCGAAGCTGAGGGGCCGACACATGGGTCTGAGCCGGAAAGGCTCATAGTGAGACTACGCTTCGAGGGCATTTCGCGCGTCTCGTCCCATCCGCACACCTATACCGTCATCTTCCGATACGAGTTCGACCGCAATACGGGCATGATCATCCGCCACGTCGTCGACAACATTCAGCCTGTGCCCGGCAGCAAGGTCTGGGCCGGCCTCACCAATGCGTGGGGTAACCTCAGCCCGTGCGGCGCTGCGGGAGCGGGAACGCCCGGAGGCGGAGGCCCTGCCGCTTGCTCTGCCCATAATGCTTCAAAGACCGCGCCTTGAATTCATGCTCGTTATTCCTCATCTCGCCCCTGCTGCCTTGCCCGCTAGCTTGCACTTGTATTCTATCTTATCAGCAGCCTATGTCAATCCAAACCACCCCTCTCAACGACCAAATGTGGAGCCTTTTCGGACGACGAGACGGACCTCCAAAGCCTTCACGGAAGGAGGAGAGCTGAGAAGAAAAAATGGATATGCTGGAATCTAGGATGTAACATACGTGAAATTTCGCCGGTTTTGGGAGCGAGACGCGCGCGTCTCTGGACGCGCCGGGTTGCGGATCCTCGGCAGCTTTTGCGTGGAGAGCAACACTGCAAAAGTGCTGCCTCGACGTGCAGGTGTTGCTCTGTCGGCTCAACCGACTTCCACCACCATCTCCATCCAAACACCCTGGCTTGTCTCTCTTACGCGCTACCACTGCGAGTCATTCGAAGTTTGGATCCATGTTGATGCCACGCGCATCGTCGTATTCGCAACCCGGCATGGCGCCTGGTCAGCCGCAGCAGTACGATGCGCCATACGCACAGATGATGCCCCAGCCATCCCACCACCTCATCTTGTCGCTCCAATCATGCGTCTCGTCCACTGCAAGCTGCGTTCAGACGGTAAGCTCGAAAGCCACTTGATGGAAGGAAAGGGGGAACAGCGAACTGACCCGGGCTTCTGCGTTCTGTGTTGCGGCGCAGATGAACGAGGCAATCTATAACCTCAACTACGCCATTCAGGACCATCCTCGCCTCGTCACGGTCCTCAAATCACAGCGCGTACGTATCCATACGATTCGAGTCAGTCTAGTGCGCTTTTCTCACCGTCGCTTTCGTCTGTGCAGCACTTTGATCTTGTCTCCGGCCGCGACATTGAGCAAGCGCGCGAGCACATTGCCTCGGAAGTTCGACCCCACATCGACGAGCTCTGTCGACGAGCAGCCGCCGAGATCTCGCGCGAGGACCGTCGTGCCGTAGCGCTGCGCAATCGCCACGAAGCACTGCAGCAACGCCTGCAGAACCTGCGTTCCATCGACAAACACCAGTCCAAGCTGCAGGAAGCCCCACCCGCCCCCACCGACCCCGCCGTCCAGGCTCAGCTCGACAATCTCAACGCCACCCTTGCCGCACTCAAGCACAAGAAGCTCGCGCTGCTGGCAAAAGCTGACGCCCTAGAAGCAGAAGCTAACCCTCACTCCTGAACCAGTTGCTCTTCAGATCAGTGCCGTGTAATTGTACCCTCCCGCTTTCGAACGATGCCTCAGCTTCATCCCATCGCCGTCACACGCCCGCGCAGTACAGAGAAACGACTGAAATTGGGCTCAAAGCTCTGCCTTGGGCTTGCCAGTACCGGCCTGGCCAGCCTGGGCAGCATCCTGGTTGAGCGCCTTGAGCTTGCGCTCGATGCGGTCGAGCTGCGCCTCGGTCTCTGCGAGCAGCCGCTTGACCGCCGCGGGATCCGCATCCGCCTCGCGCGCGCCCTTGGTGAAGCGCTCGAGGTTCTGCTCGTACATGCGCTCCAGCACGTCGGCAACCGTCTTTGCAATCGCCTCGGGCGTCGTCGCAGCGCCGCCCGGCGGCGTGATGTATACGTTGGGCGCAAACACGCGCTCGTACACTGGCGGCGCACCCTCCTCGCCACCCGCACCGCGACGCGGCGAGAGCGGGCCATAGTAGCCATCGTGGCTGAGGTAGCCGCGGTTCATCTTCGCCGCATGCATGCCGTCCAGATGCTCCACCATGCGCGACGACGATGCCAGCGCGCCCGACCCGCGCCGCCACGTGTACACGTTCGACACCAGCAGCACCACAATCACCACGCCAAACGCAAGCGTCTTGAAGCTCACTTCTTCCAGACCCACCATCTCGAGCGCACCGCCCACCAGATCGCCCACCATGCCCAAGCCGTCCATCACACGGTCTACGATGCCGCCGCTGCCGCTCGAATCGCCGCTGCTGCCTGCGCCTGCGCCGCCCGAGCCGCCGTTGGCCGCTCGGTCGCCGTTGGTGGCGCCAGCCTCGCCCGCCGCCCCGGCGCCCTTGCGGCTATTGGGCCCGGGAGTAGCGGCGCGTGCGATCTCCTCGACCGCGGCGGCATCGTCGCCCTCCTCCTTGAACTCGGAGGTGTGATCGGTGAGGTACTTGCGCACCGCCTCGTCGAGCTCCTTGTAGTACTGCTTCTGGCCGTCGAGCGATGCCTTGTCGATGATGCTCTTGAGCATGCTGCGGCCGGACCACTCCACCTGGCACGTCACGTAGACGCGCGACACGTTGCCCGACCCCTCCCACGTGATGCACGTCTTGGTCTTGACGCAGAAGCTGCCGCCGCTGGGCACGTCGGGCGTGCGCGTCGTGGTGAGCGTCACCACGTAGTTGTCAAAGTCGACGTGCACGTTTTCGTCCACCAGCACACACTTGGTCTGCTTGGGCCCAAACCCGCCCGCGAGCGGCTTGATGTACGAGATGTCGCGCGTGAGCAGGTTGCGGTTCTCGGCGTTGGGGCTCCACTCGCCCACCTGCAGGTCCATGAGCTTCTGGTCGTTGGTCCAAAATTCCTTCATGAACCCGCTCGTGAACAGCAGGTTGTAGATCTTTTCCGGCACCGCAGGGTACGTCGTGTCGAGCACCACCGACGAAAAGTGCTCCTTCTTCTCCTCGCACGGACACGTCGTCTTGCGGTGCGCCACACGCTTGGCGCCAGGCGCGGGCGATCGGCTCTGCGGGATGAGCGGCGTGCCCGACCTCGCGGCTGCCGCCGCCACTGCCGCCAAGTTCTCGTCGCGCACGCCCGTCTTGGTGCCCTTGAGCTTGCGCTTGAGGCGCGCGCGCTTCGACGGCTTCGACTCTCCGCCCTCCTTGCCGCCCTGATCGCCGTCGCGCTGCTTGGCATCCGGGCCGCCCGTACCAGCGGCAGCAGCTGATGAGTCCGCCTCGTCCTCGATCTCCGAATACTCGTCGGTCAGGTCCGCCTGGTCCGCCGCGGCGATGGGCACGCCCGGATGCGAGAGCTTCCAGATGTTGACGATGAGATCGTACGTGGCATCGCGCGAGAGGAACGACGTAAAGTTGTGCTTGCTCTGCAGCGTGGCTATCTGGATCGCATTGGGGATGACAAACGCCGTCATGCGCTTCTCGATCGAGATGACCTCGGAGAAGGGCAGCACGACGTTGGTGACCCAGCCAAAGATGTTGGCCTTGAAGCACAGGTGGTTCTCCGAGATGTACAGCCGACCCTGTGTAAGGATCTCGCGCACAAGCGCACACCCGTAGTCTTCGATGAGATAGTCGTCCTCGGGCACCTGCGGGAAGAGCTGGTGGAACTCATTGTTGCGCTTGGAACTGGCCACCGCGAATCCGGTGATCTGCGGGCCCATGTCTTCGGGCCACGTGGTTTCGCCATCGATGTGGTCACCACCGCCACCGACACCCCCCGCCTCGGGAGGAACGAGGCCACCGACACCGATGGGATGGCCGCCGTCGGGGGTGAGCATCGGGGTGGGCATTCCGGGCACTCCGCCGATCGAGGACAGCAGCGCGGCGGAAGCGGCTCCAAAGCCGGCGGCGGCGCCGAGCCCACTGACCGACGAGCGATCGCTGGTGACGGATCCGTCGTACGACATGAAACTGCTCGTGCTTCGGTCGCGGTGTGGACGCGGAGGATGAAATTGGTTGCCATCCTGATCCTTTTCGATCACAGTTCCGGTGGAGGGATCACGGTAGATACCGCCCTGGAAGCCAGAGATGTGTGCGGCGCCATCATCGCCAGTGACGGAGCTGGCGCGCTTAGCATCCTTTTTCTTCTTGGTCGCGGTGGAGTCTGCGTCGGCCAAGGCGGCTTGCGACTGCTGAAGCGCAGCGGCGTGCCCGACACCCATGCCTGCGATGCCGCTGGCGGCTAAAGCACCAGCGATACCGGCGGAGGCGGCGCCGTTCTTTTTGCCCTTGCTCATCTTGCTGATGGTGCTGCTGTCGCTGTTCTTGCGCAGACGCAAGAGAGAGCCGGGCCCGTGGCCGCTGGTGGAGCCGGCGTCGGAAGGTCTTCTTGGGCTGCCGTCCATGGCGCTGGGGACATCCGAAGGGCGGAGAAGCGCGCCACTCGAGGCGCTCTTGGACACGCCCTGGACTGGATTGCGCTCGGGCGATACGGGACGATCCATGAGCGTGCTGGCGCGCTGTGGCGGCCCGCGCTGGCCGTTGTTTTGGATTCCCAAGCCTTCGGTGGCTGGACGATTGGGCGCGTACACGTTGCCCTGGTTGATGATCTCTTCGAGAGAGTCTGACCGAGGCAGTTCGGCACGGATGGGCGCAGGAGTGACGATGGTTGGCATGGTCGCAGATGCAGTGAGAGTTTGCGAGGGGGCGACGGCCGAAGACGTCTCCTTGGACGGCGTGGCAGGGGTGGGGAAGGCCGAGGAGCGAGGCAGGTTGACGTTGTGTGCGCCGTTGGAGTTGGCACTGACGACACGTGGCTGACCATTGCCAAAGGCGTCGATGGAGAGGCTGCCATCGCCGGGGCGATCTGAAGGAGCATCTGGGTGCGGGGCGAGGCGGGAGGTGATTGGGGTGGAGGTGTTGGGATGAGGATGGGCGGGGTGATGCTGATTGTGGGCATGATGGCTGGCGCCGTGCGAGTGATGCGAATTGGAGAGGTGGTCGTGATCATCCTCGAAAACGCTGCCGCTGTCGTCGTCGTCGTGGTCCTCGGCGTGGTAGTCCTGGGCGGTGGCCATGGCGCGTCGCATCAGCTCGTGGCGGTTGAGCGGTTCGGACTTGCCGTGGCCCTCGTCGCTCTTGTCTACCTTGGAGCTGCGACGCGAGGCTTTGCCGCCCGTCGAGGAGAGCGCTCCGCCGGGCTCGCTGCGCCACTGGCTGTGGCTCGAGGAAGACGGGCGCGCCATGGATCGTGATGAGGACGAAGCAGGCACTGTGCCCTTGGGATCCCAGCGCACCGAGCTGGACTGGATTGGGTGAGCGTCTGCAGCGGGAGGCACCGCAGTTCGCAGCGTAGAGGCGTCGGAGTCGGCCGAGCTCTGTGGACGTGGAGGGCTGAGACTCGAGACGTCGGTCACGTCGATGGCAGGTAGATTGACCGGCGTGGAGAGCGGCGAGACGGGCACGGAAGAGTTGGTCGCAGCGTAAGCACCCCTGGGAAAGGATGACTCGAGCGTCGGCTGATCCGAAGAGCCAGACTGAGATGCCGAAGTGGACTTGTTGCGCTTGTGATCCCCCGAGTTGGATGCAGCCGACGGACTGTCTTTGTTGCTGTTTCGGAAGATGTTTTTGAACGACGACATGTGGGCGTCGGCGCCACGAGCAGATGCTTGCTGCTGATGCGCAAGATGCGGCTCACTAGGCAGGTGCTGATGCAGGGGATGTCAGGTGGGATGCGTTCTTCCGTTCGTCAACCCACCAAAACTGCCTGTCGGATTGATAGACGGGCCTCCCAAAGTCGAAATGGGATTTGACGGAGGTGAGCAGGCAGTAACAGAAACTGAGCAGCGCGATCACTGTGCAGGTGAATTGCCCTTCGGAAGCTGTCCGATGAGACGGCGGTGATGGTGTCGAGGTGCCAGGAAGGAGTGGCGGGTCCCTTTTGGAAGGGCGGCAGCAGCAACGGACTGCACTGGGCACAGCTGCACACGAACGATGTGCATGACCCACGCGCGATCGCGGCCACCTTTCTGACCGAGTGGGAACACGCCCGGCCCCCTGTGTGCCCCACTCCGGTACATCCGCACTTTGTTGCTCCACACGGACTTGCGTGGAGCACGGCCGGAGAAAAAAGGCCAAGGGCGCTCGAGCCGCCGCTTCTTGGTTTTCGCCGTGCCTTGGCGGCAGAAGCGCATGTGGAGCTTTCGCCCGGCCAGCCAGCCAGCAGTCCGCCCGCCCGCTTCTCCTTCGGAGGGTGCGTTGGCGCCACAAAGGGAGCCGGCACGGGAAAGTGCGAAAGTGCGAGGAAAGGATGCGTCCAGCCACTCGGCACTCCGGTGCTTGTCACCATGCATGGATGTGGCGCTTGCCTGCGATGCATGACGAGCTAGCGTAGCCTCAAGCTCTTATTGTTACCATGTCGACCAGCAGCGTCACGATGTCCATCTGGCATCTGGACTTGATCAAGTAGCCTCATCTCCATATCGGCACGCCCGAATCGCAACTCAACGCCACTCACCTGGTCGTGTAGGAACCCGCGGAACCCGCCGTCGCAATTCGGAATGGCTGGCGATGATCGTGACCCCATCGTCGTCTCGACTGCCACCGCCTGTGTGCATCAATCGGACCTCGAGGTGAGTGTCTCGAGCTTTCGAAGTGTGCTTTCACTTTGCTGAATTTGCTCGGCACACGTGTGCCATTGTGATGGTGTGTCCTAGACCTTGGGCAAGGACGAGTGGGTTGGAGACAACATCTTAGCCTTCCATGCCGAGTGGCTAGACGATCTCGGCACGCGGCTCAATGAGGCCAGCTCCGCGCCTTCGGTCAAAATGATGCCTCCTTCCGTGGTCGAGCTGCTTTGTGCGCTCGACGAGGAGGCAGGCAACCAAGCATCCTCGGTCGTGCCAACACCATCCGAGCGCTTTCTTCTGCTTCCTGTCAGCGATCGCTACAGCTCCTCGAGCCCCGGGCACTCGGCCGGCGGTAGTCACTGGAGCCTCTTGTTCATCGACGCCCACAAGGGCGACAGCTTCCACTTAGACTCTCTCGGAGACATCAATCGCACCGCAGCCAACACCGTGCAGGACAGCATTCGCACGCTGATCCAGGCCAAGTCCGGCGGCACATTGCGCCCAGCCAAACCACGCAACGTCGAATGCCTCCAGCAGCAGGCCAACGGCAGCGACTGTGGCATCTACGTCCTCTTTCTCTCCAGTCTTTTACATCGTCGCCTCTCCGACGACAGTCAACCGGACAAGCTCGACGCCCTGATCCAAGACGTCTGCGAATCGTCGACACCAGACACGGTGATGAAGTTCCGGCACAAGTACCTCTCCTGGCTGCAAACATGGGGCGAGGTGACGCACCACGAGGAGCACGTCCAGCCCGACCAGCGCATCCGTGCACGCTTTCTCCAACTTTTTTCGGGTCTCGGTGTGGAGTAGCCGCCTTTTTTCGCGCCGCAATTTCGAGACCTCTATTCGTTGCTCTGGACCTTTCTCGTTCGCTCTCTTCTGTTCCTGTTGCCACCCAATTGAGCCTTGCATTCCTCTCTTCCAACCGCATACTCGAGTGCATGTGCCGCACTCTCGCAAACGGACCCTAGCAGCTCGTCGCACTGAGCCCACGACGTCCTAGTCCTAGCCGATCTGTTACCGCGATGGCCAAGACGCTCGACCCTGTTCAGGCCGCGCGCAGGGCGGCGATCCAGCGTGAGTCCAAGCGCAACAAGGAGCGCAAGCAGCAGGCACAGCAGGCACGCGCATTGCGCCAAGACACCGCACCACTCGAGCGCCAGATCCGTCGCCTCGAGTCCCGACAAAATACACTCAGCGAGGACGATCAGGAAGAGTTGCAGCGTCTCCAGCGCGAGGTTGCCGACGTCAAGCGCATCAAAGAAGAATACGTTCGCCAGCATCCGGATCAGCGTAACTTTGTCCGCGGATACGAGGAAAAGACTCCCAGCGAATCCAAGCCTGGCGAATCGAGCAACGCATCTCAGCAAACCGCACCAGCAACCACTCACGTCAGCCAGAATGCGCCGTCGCGGGATCCGAAATGGAGTATTTACTACGATCCCGTCTTCAATCCATACGGAGCACCTCCGCCGGGCATGCCTTACCTGGAGAAGCCTCACTCGCAGCCAGTAGCCGAAGGACTCTTGGACGTGGCAAAGCCACCCCCGCTACCCGAAGAAACGGCCGACTTTGAAGATGCTGGCTCGAACGAAGACAGCGATGACTCGGGCATCGACGACGACCTCAAAGACATTGTCATGCCGGCAGGACCTCCGCCCATCAATTTCGCGTCGAATCAAGGGGAGGTCCGTCAAGGTCCAGCCACAGCTGACCGAGGCCGAAACGTGCGTGGCACGGGCAAGGCAAGTGGCCGGCCACCAGGCCCAGATCAACACAGAGGTGGGAGACACGGTCCAGGTAATGGCATTGGTCGAGGCATGGCGAGACCGATTCACAGCGCCGCCGGACTCCCTGCGCGGCCTCCTCCTGGACTTCCGCAACGGCCTCCAGTACCTGTGGCGGACGCCACAGGCTCCAGACTACAAGCATCTGCCCCCGCATCTGGAACGCCCAAGCCACCAGGACCGCCGCCTGCAGTGCCCGACGGCGTCGTGATCTCGGCAGAGCCGCAGCTGCGCGACTTGAGAAAAGAGACCACGGCATTCGTCCCGGCGGCGATTCGCAAGAAGCAGCAAGAAGAAAAGGCAAGGATGAAGCGAGGACTTCCCGGCAGGATCGATGCAGCCCCGCTCTCGGATCACATGGCCGGCCCGGCAGATGCCGCTCAGAAGGAGCGGCCGGATCTGCTCAAGTCTGTGCAGGCGCATCTGCCCAGCAAGGCTGCCGACGCTTCAGGAGGACATGGATCGAACGAAGGCGGCAGCAGCGCGCAAGACTACGATCGATTTCTGCGCGAGGTGGGCGATCTGCTCTGATATGATGGCGGTGAAGGCACAAAGCCCACTTCATACCTCACAACGCCACGCGTTAGTTCGTTGCCCGGTCTGGCGGATGTGCGTCAAATTGCCACCCACCATTGCTCCCACGCTGCCCCGTCAATTTCATTTGCAGTGGGTCGAGCGAGGCAATGCGGATGAAGCACCTGCGCCATCCGAGCTCGCCTGGCCGCAGATGAGATGCAAGGTACACGGCCAGAGCGGAATCGAACGCATCAGCCGCAATCCGCCGTCTTCAGGACATATTGTATAAGATGCGGTCGATCGCAAACCTCGTGCGACACAACCTCTTGTTCACATCCACCTTGCTTACCAGTCTGTCCATCTCCGAGCGCACAAACGATTCACGACGGCCATACGTCTCGCGACAACGTCAAGATGCATTTGCCTGGGCACATCATCGGTGGTGTACTCGCCTTGTATTTTTGCGCCGTTCGAGTTGCCTCAGCTGCGGCGCCGACGTGCACAAAGGGTAAGTCGATGCATGGACGAATCCACATACGATTGACATGCGGATTGCGCAGATGCTGACAGGCGAGCTTCTCATCTGACAGTGCTTACCTGTGACGTGAAGGGAGACGACTCGCCCGAGGCCGGGCTGCGACAGGTGGATGAACATGCGCTGCGGACCATGTACTGCGCCATGGGCTGCGACTATGCGGTGAACCATGCGATACCGCATGCCTTTTCGACGTACATCAAGCCGATTTGCTCGGTCGAGAAGGAGGAGAACCAGATCGAGTTCAAGAAGTACGAAAAGGATGGCAAGGACAGCAGAAGGCGCCGAAGTCTGCGCTGGGAGCGTGGCCAACGTGCGCCGGGAAAAACACGGCGAGATATCGACGCCTACACTGTCGGAAGCGCGCAGATCAAATTTTGCTGCACCGACCAGAGCGGAGTGGATTACACCGAGGCGGTGAGTATGACCTTGCAACAGGCAGAGAGCATCGTCAGAAGCGAGACAGCTGACGCCGAGCTATATTTGACGATTGCTTCCGCAGGCGGCCAAGAGAATCGGTCTCGAGCTTTCGATCTGCAAGGGTCACGCAAAGGACTAGGAGACGTAACAGCCATTCTTCCCCAGCCAAGCATAGAAGACACAAAGCATATAGACTACATAGATGTGATGTTCTCGAGCGACACTGTGAGCGTCGCGACACTTGACGAGCAGAGGCACAGCGAAACGAGCTTGGGTGGAGGCTTCTGAGCCTCAGAACACCGCCATCCTGGCAAAATTGGCCAAATCACGTGCAGCCTCACGGCGCGAGGGTGAGCGTCTGAGGGGAACGCGACTCGGAGTCGGATTTTCTGTGCAGGGCGATGCAGCAGCAGCAGCAAAGCAGCGGCAGGCCCGGGTTGGGAAATTTGGCATCTGCGGCTGCGTCCCCGTGCGCTGTGATGAGGGGCGTGTGTATGAGAGCGCATGTATTCGGCTCAGCCGTGACAGCCAGTGCATCACTTGCCGACTCGATGTGATTCTTTGTCTCTTCCATCTGTCGCATCACCCTTCGCATCGGATCAGCCGCAGCCTCGACTACGCCTCGCATCCACCAAATGGCGATAGGCTTCTAGGCGGACGTGCTTTCTCTCCTCGGGCTCTTCAGCCAAACCCCTTCGACCTGGCCTCGATCATAAATATCGCCACCGAGCCGTTCAGAGCGTCTCTTCTCCAGCCAGGCCCAGACCGACTCCATTCAGGCCTCACATCTCGCTACATCCAGCACGTATAGCGACCAGCCATGTCCGGTGTTCGAGCGGCCTCACGCCGCGTCCCGGCTTTGCAAGCCTCCGAGGCTAGCTCCTCGTCGGGCAGCAGCAGCAGCAGCAGCAGCTCCTCATCGCCGATGACCCCAGAGGCGCATCTGCTCACCCATGTTAACAACGTCCGCAAGTGCTGCGACATGTCTCTCTTCTACAAGAACCTCCAGGAGCAGGGCCTCGACTTTATCGCGGATAGCCTCTTGCACGCTAACGACATCTTTGCCAAATATGCGTAAGTACTCCCATCCATCTGGATCATTTCGACACCGCCACAGTCAGCGCTAATCACTGTCTCTTTGCTCTCGCGCCGCCTCGCAGCACCAGCTCGCGCAACGTCGCATCGCCTTCCAAGCTCGCCGGAGAGCTGCTCAAATCGCCTACTCGCACCCGCACACGTTCCCGCGATGCTGCAAGCGCCATGGGTCGCACTCGTGGTGCGGCTGTTACCCACAGTGATCCTTTCATCGATGCAGTGGACGTCTTTGACAAGGAAAACGCGCCCGTCCCAACGCGCTCCTCGCGCTCCCGCACTGCTTCTACGCTCGAGCCTCAAAAGGGCAAGCGAAAAGCCGCAGTCAAGGCCGGCAAAGCCATCGCAGAAGATGCACCACAGCCACCCGCCGCTCGATCCACCCGCAAGGTACTCGGCGATCTCAACGTGCAAAAGCACGAAACTGATCACGCCGAACAAACCACCAAGGCAACCAGGAAAGCCGTCGCCAAAGTCACCCCCTCCGATGACGACAGCATGGCGATCGACACGTCCCTGCGTCAAGCGACACCGCTCCATGACACTGCGCCCAGGGCTTCCACTCCACCCGCACACGCCTCGCCGCAGAAGCCTCAACCTGCCCAATCTTCGAAATGCGCGAGCCAGCAGCAAGCCATCGAGTCTGTCTCCATCATCGATTCGGATGAGGAAGACTCGGATGACGAACAAGAAGCTCTCGAGGCAACGTCTTCTTCCAAGATCAAGCCTGTCGCATCCAACGAAAAGCATGCCGAACCCACCGTCACAAGCACCGTCGTCTCGCAGCTTTCCAGCATCGACTCCACCACCGTCTCGTCGCTTTCCGATCCGAACGACACCATGCGCTCCACTGACGACAGGAGCAAGGAGCACGACAGCACCCTCTCGGGACGTCACGTCGACCCGAAGCTCGACAGTGCCCGCCAGGCTGCATCCCTACTCGTCTCCAAGCTTCAGCAACAAAAGGACGCCAACGCCGACAAGCCCGCCAAGCGCACCCTGGCTTCCTACGGCGCAAAGAAGAGTCTGTCTTCGGCCACGCACAACGCGCGCCCCAGCAACCCTACCCTCACCCTTCACTCGGCCTCCACCCCGGCCGGTCCAGGATTCCGCTCGAGCTTCCTCAACAAGAGTCTGCGAAAGCAGATCGCTGATCAGGAGGCCCTCGAGGACAGTGACGATTCCGACTCGGACTCGGACGCAGACGCAGACATCCAGCCCCTCGTAGCCGGCTCCGCAGCAGCCGCCATCTCCAAGAAGACGGCAGCCAACACACGGGCCAACGCCGGCGATGCCACCACCAAGATGGCTGCCTTGCCCGCCAGCGGTAACGCGGCCAGCAAGAAGCGTAAGAGCGACGAAGCTCTTGCGCCTGCCAGCGAAGCCCCGCTAGGCTCGTCTGCTCCGCCCGCAAAGATGTCAAAGCTGGGTGCAGCCATGCAGGCGGCCAAAGCACAGGCGTCTGCCCCGATGGCCGCCGCCAAGAAGCCAGTCGCAGTTGGCCCAGCGTCAAAGCTCGAGCAATTTCGCAACAATCTGGCACACGTGGCGCGGAGCGCGGGTAGCGGTACGAGCGCAAGCTCTACCTCGCAGCCCGTTCTTCCCGCTAAGCCGGCGCCATCTGTTCCCGTCCAAGCGATTGTGTCGTCACACGCAGATGATCGTAGTGAGACGCTGACGGCAGCCTCCGACTCGAGCTCGGAAGTCACGGAGAAGATTGCTGACCGTAGCGGCGGATCGACCATCAAGGCATCCGCCATTCCACGATCGCCGACCCGCTCTCCTTCTCGCACCGCCACAGCTTCGCCGGTGAGGCTTCCTCCTCGCACGGGCAGTGTTCGCAAGTCTCCTCGCAAATTGGCCGAGCAGTCGAAAGCCAGCCAGATAGACTCGACACGCAGCGCTTCGCCCGGTCCCAAGTCCAAGGATGATGCGAGCGACAAACTTACTTCCTCGTCTGGTCTGCCGACTCCGCGAAGCCCGACAACGCAGCCGCGGAGCCTTGCCGCCCTCTTTGGCAGCCCAAAGCAGAGCACCAAACTTCCATCGCTCTCGAGCACCGCTGGCGGCAGCACCACCCCAGCCCACTCGCCTCCCAAGAACTGGCACGGTAGCCGTCTACCCTTCGCTCAACCTTTTGCCACCCAGCAAGCAGCGCTGCGCGAGAAGGACAAGTCGCTGCCTCAGACCCCGATCGAGGAGAAGGCTGAACCTGTCGCCTCCGAGGCCACTGACGGCCGTCGCGTTGCCTCGGCAGCATCGACCATCCTCTCGACGTCCAAGGCCGATCTCGACAGCCAGTTCTTTGATGCTCGGGAGACTACTCCGGAGCCTGCAGAGGTCCCAGCGGCTCCCGCGACGGCAAAGACGTCCAAGGACGCGACTTCGACCGCCACTGTCAATGTGGCTAGCAAGGCTGAGTTGAAGGCGGCGACCGCTACTACCAGCATGACGGCGCCTCAGACAGCGACCAAAGCGTCGGGCATCGTCAAAGCCTCTGTGCTGTCGCCCAAAAAGGTGGCCGCGAAGACGATGGCCAAATCAGGGCCAACCTCACCAACCAAGGCGAGTGCGCTTCGTGCTGCAGCCAACGCTGCATCGCCATCCAAGGCCAAGGCCCAGTCGACTGCACGTACAGCGGCGCAATCGGGCGTACCGGCCACCTCGACTTCTCCGTCCAGAACTTGGGGCATCGGCGAAAAGATCAAAGGCTTCCTAGGTCTGCACGCCTCCACCACGACCAACCCTGCGACGTCGGTCGCGCAGACCAAAATCTCGGCTTCGGGCACCTTCCAGCCTAGATCAAATGGCATCCCCGCAAGCACCTCCAGCGCGACGGTTACGGAGTCAAAGACAACATCTGCTGCAGTCGCCGCTGCCCCAGCCATCCCTGGTGCGCTGCTTGCCAGTCCGACACCGTCATCGAAGGTGCCGCAGGTGCATTCGACCCCATCGGGCGCAGCTGCTTCCGGCCCGGTCAACGGTAAGCTGTCTAGTATCGCCCGTGCCGAATTGCTGCGCAAGAAGCAGGCAGAAGAGGAAGAACGCAAAGCCAAGGAGAAGGAAGAGCGCCGACGAATGCTGTTGGCAAAGAAGGAGGAGCGTGCCAAAGCGATGGCCGAGGAAGAGCTCGAGAAAGAGAACCGCAAGCGTACGCGCGATCAGAACGAACGCTCTGGACGCGCCGGCCAAGCAGGTGCGGGCAACGAAGATGCCAGTATCGCGTCGTCGAGTGGAGCCCCGGCAGCCATCCCCGCCGCGCTCCTCGGTGGCATTGTGCTTGGAGGCGGCTCGACTGCTCCCAGCAGCCTGCACAGCGGTTCGACGAGTTCGCGAACCAGCGCCGTCAGCACCATCAGCAGCGGACCGCCTACCCGACCATCCAGCGCGCTCAACGGCAGCTACGCAGGCGTCAAGAGCCGCTACATGCAGACGACGGTCCAGCAGGCGCAGCAACCTTCTCAGGATGAGAGCAACAAGAAGCGCCGCGTCACCAATGACCGGGACGCTGCCTCTGCACTTGCTCCTCCCCAAGTCAAACCCAACCCGCAGCCTGTGGCCGGTGCTCGTCCGGGTGTCTCGGCGGCCACCTCGCAGATCGGCGCACCCAAGATGGCGCGCACCGTGAGCCAATCTTCGATCCGAGCCGGTACGGCGACGCAAGCACACGCGCAACAGCAGCAGCAGCAGCAGCAACGCGCACAGCCGCAGCCGGCACCACAGCCGGCGCCACAGCAGATCAAGTTGGCGATGAAGCCAACCGGTGCTGCAGCTGCAGCCTTTGGCGCGGCGCCGCGTATTCCCGGTGCGGGCGCAATGGCTGGAAACGGTGCGGCTATGGCCTCGATCATGGCGGCCGCCTCCAAGGCACCGCTTGCGGCCGGAGCGAGTCAGCCCCCGGTCAAGACCATGGCAAATGCCAACTTTTCCACTGCGAACCCTTTCCAGCAGGCCAAGCAGCAACAGCTGCAGATGCAGATGCAAAAGCAGAAACAGATGCAGATGTTGCAGCAGCAGCAGCAGCAGCAGCAGCA